TCCAACCTGGCCTTGAACCCTGCCAGGGAGGGGGCAGCCACAGCTTCTCTGGGCAACCTGTGCCAGGGCCTCACAGGGAAGAATTTCTTCCTTACATCTCATCTGAATCTCCCCTCTGTCAGTTTAAACCCGTGACCCCTTGTCCTATCCCCACACCCCTGATGACGAGTCCCTCCCCCCTTTCCCGCAGCCCCTTTCAGCCCTGGGAGGCCGCTCTAAGGTCTCCCCGCAGCCTTCTCTTCTCCAGCTGAACCCCCCAACTCTCTCAGCCTGTCCTCACAGGGGGGGCTCCAGCCCCCCCAGCATCTCCGTGGCCTCCTCTGGCCCCGCTGGAGCAGGTCCGTGTCCTTCTGCTGTTGGTGCCCCAGAGCTGGACCCAGCCCTGCAGGGGGGTCTCACAGAGCGGAGCAGAGGGGAGAATCACCCCCTCGCCCTGTGCCCACCCTGCTCTGGGTGCAGCCTAGGACATGGTTGAACCTTGTTCCTCAGCTCCCCTGACAGACCTGCCTAGGGAAACTGCCCCAATGTTTAGTGCCTCACATGCTCCATCCCTGAGGTCAGACTGGCTTGTAAGTCCCTACTTCAGGTGCGACATTATTTTACTGTCCTCAAAAGTAATGATTCCTGCTAAATATTACATCGTGCACTGGCCATTTCTGCTGCGTCCTGCAAAAGCAATCATGTGCTGAACACACACCTCACCGGTGCGATGACCGCAACCACCGCAAGCCTTAGATGAGCCAAGCGCCGCCAGGCCTCGGTCTGTTTGGGGCTGTACAGATGTAAAGGACGGGGCTGAGTCTCCAGTATGAACCTGGGCAGAACTCGGGAGCGAGTTCCCCACGAGTTGCATTTCTACACAAAAATCCTAAAACGCTCTTGGAGATGTCCATGCTATTTTAGGATGATAATAATGTGCTACGTCACAAACCGACCAGTTTCCTTCTGTCCTTGAGTGACCTTGCAAGCAGTCTTGCAAAAGTTAAATCAGAAGACCTGTTTCCCAAACCAGGTGCCTGCAGGTTTGTTTTTATTGCACGTCCATTGCCAGATGTCCCTGTGTGCAAATACTAGATCTGTTAGACATTAATTCCCACCTCAGCTCCCTGCCTCTAGGACAGAAAGGATGGCACGTCTCTGGGGATGCAGTCGGAGAGCACCGGAGCAGTGCCGCGAATGTACACCAGCCTTTCCCCACGGGGTGAGTACTGGCTTGTGAGTTTTCTCCTGCTCTTTTTCAGATTTTCTGCTTTCTGCAGAGACACCAGGCTGGTGTGTGGACTGGTTATGCTCTAGTTATTCCCTTACACAGAATGACTTTGTCTTTATGCCAGTGCAGTAGACTCAGGCAAATACACTGTTGAGTGGCCAATAAAAAGATCAATACGTAAGGCGGGTGTAATGGATTGTACTCAAAGTGAGAACTCTTACACTGCACTGATTGTAATATCTTACCTAAAAAAAATATATTAAAAACCTCCTCCTTCTGTTTAGCTATTTTATCTAGACCCATTTCAAACTCTTGCAACCATTCTGCGTGATATTGGCATCGTTAAGAGTTTACTTGTTATGAAGGCTCTGAAATTCATCGTCATGTCTTAACAGCTACAAGGGCAACCATAAAAAAAAAAATAGTTCCAGGTCTACCCTGTAAACATGACCACAGGGATCCAGAGCAGAGGGAAGGCTGATGGGATGAGGCTTTGAACTGAACATCAGCCTTTTACACCCAGATACACAAATAGCTTATTTTTAAAAGATAGCTAAATCTTTCCCCACAGATTTATAAACATTCTTCCATGTCTGGAAACACTGTGTTGTAACATAGCATACCATGGAGCGGAGCATTTTAAAACAAACAAACAGCAAAGAAATGACGATGGTCATGAAAACATGAAAGCTAATTTTCTGGAAGATTTGTTGTTGCTGCCCTTTTAAAATGAAACAGTCTGTAGATTTGTAAGAAGGTTCAAAATATTGACAGTCTAACCTCCCCCGCTTTTGTTTCTACGCTCTTCCACCTTCAGCTGCAGTGCAATTTTTTGATATTAGGTGCAGTTTCTCTCTAACAGAAGCCCATCTGGTTAATTCTCTTCTAATAAGAAAGAAGCTCAAATTTAATGGAAGTTAGCAATGATCAGAGAGTGCCATAACCTGCTCATCACAAAGACTGACTTAGGAGAAATGTGGTGAAGGGCTTTTTCCCTTCAGGTTCCTGGTTTTACTATCTAATGAGGAGCTGAAAGTCAGTTAAATGAGAATAGTCTTGACAGATAAACATAGCCAGCACTTTGGTAAACAAGAACCACCACCTAATCCATGTAATATTCTCATTAATGTTAATTAACTCGAAATGAAATAGTAGGCTGTAGAACTTTATCTGAAATGTAATACAGCATCCTCACTGATTTCTCGGGGATACCCAAGTGAAGACTGATACTAAAGCAAAGTTATGTCTCCTTTGCTCATTCACATTTGTCACTGCAGTTCTTTGCTGCAATTAGGGGTGGGGGTCTCCTGCCGTCCCGTGCTCCATCGGAGGCGTCAAGCATGGGTTACTGTAATCCAGGCAAATACGGGACAGATGTTTAATTCAAAAGGACCTGTACTCTCATCTAGAACTTGCTGTGCACCGTCCGATCCTTCCTTTGCAGAGGCTGCCATTTCTTTCAGAATTTTAATGCGTTAGCTACCAGTTGTACTAATTGTCTTTTCATTCTCAACCCAAATTTTCCAGTTTTAACATCAAGTGTTGAGCACAAACACAAACACATGGCTGTTCGTTCCTGTTAGGCCCCTCCACTACAAAGCTTGCTTTTCTGACTTCTGATGCAACTCATCCTGACGTCGCCTTTTCCACTGGAGAATCAGTGCTTTTTCCTTTACACCAGCTGTCATCACAAACACCCGTGGCCACTGGATTCCTCCACACACGCACTCACTTTTCGAGCGGTACGTCCTTGACGTGTACGTTTTCTCTGGCAAGGCTTGGTTTCCTTACGGTCAGCCAGGGATTCTTTCTGTCTTCTGGCTTGAAACTGCTCACTCAGAAAATCTGCTTGCTCAGGCTCGGATGAGTTCCAGGGGTTCTGCCTCTCAGGTTAGTGCTGGATATGGACTACAGGACTCCTAGCATTTCATCTCCTCCAGCCTGAGCTTCAGAACCTCCTTTCTGCAGTTCCTGGTATCCCTCTGATGCCAGGAAGCATCACCCATAAACTTCACTCTTCCTCCAGGGTGTCGGTGGTGCCCGGCTGATCTGAAATCCTCACGCCCTACAGCAAGTCATGGTGTAGGTCTCACCACTCCAACTGTCCAACTGTTTCCCTTTGTCTGTGAATGTCTAAATCATCTGTCACTTTTCTTCTCCTTATTAATCAGGTGGCCACTCTATAAAATAGAAATTGTTTCTTATGTTGAAGGAAAATTTAATAAGCAAGGGAGGCCGGTATGTCTCTAGTAATTGTGAGGACACAGTAGAAATCTATTGTATTTATCATTTTGATAAGGACATTTGATGAAATAGGCTTCTGCGCTCAAGACTCAAGTATTTTACCCCTCTGCAAACTCTAATGCAGGACAGTGATGAGTTGCCAGTGCTGCCATGGGCACCAAGGTGATGGTACAAGTGACACTGCTGCAGTGCTTTCTGAAATGAAAGGTTTGTTATCGTTGCTCTTTCAGTGTCTTCTAGCAGGCACTTTCACCCCTGAAGCCACATAAAACCAAGCCAACCCAAAACCAGGAAAGCACTCAGCTCTCACCTGTGGTCTGCGAGAAGCTGCTCGGGGCTGGAGAGCTTTGTGTCCAACAGCGGGTGTGTTTAGATGGTCTAGCCCTTACCCTGGGACGATCAGCTGTATTAGATTTTCCAGAGCAAAAGCCAGAGTCTTATGATTTCCCAAATAGTTGTAGAAGTCCGGTCTACGACTCCCCACACAATGCTTCCGAACACATTGTGATTGCAAAAGGTGTCTTAGGGCTGATGTCTCCCTGGCATGGTAATATAGAACAAATAACTTATGCCGATCTGTTATTAGCAAATCTTTTCTTCCTGCAGGTTATTTACATTCCACGAATTTCACCTACTGAAAACAACTCTCTGGTGGTTCTTTCTAACGATAAAACCAACTGCCCAGACAATTCCAGACCATGAAACAGTTCTGCTGTATTTAGCAGGTAAGGAAGTGAATTTGTGTGGAAAGAAATGAATTCAATTCCATTTCGTGCTCTTTCTGAAGTGCAAATTTTTATTTTATTAATGCATTTTCCTGCATCACCAAGAATCTTAAATGTTTCAAAGTACACATTTTTATTTCATCTCTTACGTGTTCATGGAGAACCAGACAAATCTGTTTTATTCCTTATAGCGATTATAGCAAATAAATGTATAGTCCATTTGTTGCAGCACCTCTATGAAGGAAAGGTCCTGAGCAGGAAATTACCCTCAGGCCCCAAATTATATCTTGCTGGAACCTGAATCACATTTTTTTGAGAGCTCCTATAATGCGTGGGAGACAATAATGATCTGTACCGAGATAATACAAATAATTTTCTTAGTCTTCACAGACTGAAATTAATTGGTCCTAAGCACAGCTTTAAATATGTGACATTAAAGAAGCACATAGTTACCATACAGGAATAAGCTACCTTACATTTTAATGTTGCATCATTGTCTCATTTTGTATTCCTGGCCACGTGATATTGACTCTGGAACAGGAGACAAGATGTTTTAATTACTCATAAATAATTATGTAAATGTGCATAGCAATGCTTGTTGAAATTAATCATCCATTAGCACTCGGGGG